CGCTGCCGCAGCCGTTGCTCCAGTCAAGAACGCCACCCCAGATGAGCTCCGCCTCACTTTTGCCTCTCCAGACCCCGTGAGAAAGACTGTTTTTAAAGATTAAAAGTTGTATCTGTATTATTTAGGCTGTCTTCAGCAACGCTGTCGTCAAGCAGGTTGATGTCCCAACATTGGCTGGTATGGTTGGTGTGCTCGCTAACCACGTCCCAACCATCGGAGTTTTGAAGCCAGGAGTTGTCACTGTCACCACTAACGAGGGTGAGATACCTAGAAAATTACTAATAGAAGATATTATGTCGATGATTTTCCAGGAACTGTTCAACGTCTTTTTGTTTCCTCTGGACCCCCTTCTGTAAACATCGATGGATCATCCCAAGTCCTTGCGGACCAAGTTTCTGAAAGTTGAAGAGATCTCAACTGAAAAATACGTTATCTTATTACTGTAAATCGTAATAAATATTATAGATCTGAAAAAATAGTTCCATCGGAAAACAATGATTCTGAATTTTCTCTTATGTATTGCATCTGAAATTTTTTTTAAAAACCAAAATTTCTAAATAAATACTTTTTTATTACATTCATCAAAAATAAAAATATATCACAAAAACCAAAATATGTACAGTTGAACATGAGGGCAAAATATATGAGATCCCATACGAATATTGCAATTTTTCGTCAAAATAAGATGACCAACCAGCGGTAACAAATGGAAACAAAATATCATAGAATGTACAGACAGGGGAAATATACAGGGGAAGAGTTTTCTTATTGCAAGAGATACAAAATAAAACATGTTTAAAAAATAGGGAGCCAAATAAATAAGGATTAGACTAAAACACCAGCTAAATTCTGAGTTTTTCAAAATACCATATTTACACGTTGCGAAATTTACAGGTTCTGACAGTCTGATGGATCAAGAGGTTGACTGCAGATTTTGTAGTCATGTAGCCGGAAGACACGTGACTTTTTCTTGATAAGCAGATATCATTTGGTGATCCGCTTCTTGAATTGACCATACCGATTATGTTCTGGAGATGTCACTTTGAGCATTTGAAGACGTTGTGCTCTTTGAAGTGAAAATAGAGTGGCAGTTTTACGGAGGTCCATTGAAGTAGACTCTCCATAGAAATAGACTGGATGATGAATCATATTGAAAGAAGGTCACTTTCAGATAATTCTAGAGAGAAGAGCACTGAGAAGTCGGTGGCTGACTGACCGGAGAGGGCAAGAAGCGCGTCGACTCGCCTCGAAAAATGCTCCGCCCATTTTCGGAACAAGGCCACGCCCACTTCAGTTTGCAAAGGTGAAGAAATGGTGAAGGAAGATGAGGAGTTGCATATGAATATGAGAGATATAGAGAAATCGAATCGAGAAAAATATAAACCTGAAGTTTAAACCACACAGAAAAAGAATGAAAAAATAGGGGAGAAAGATAAATTAGTGTAAAAGAATGCGGTTTTGGGAAAAGAAGGACAACAATAAACAAAAACAAATAAACACATCACTTCTAGAATGAGAAATAAAAGACACAAACTACAGATCAAAATTAATTTGGGGTAGGGCTTTTTGATAATTACAGTAATAGTGAATGTTGAACTACAGTAACCATAAATAATTAGTAATATGTATCATAAGCTGGTTTAAAAAACTGGAGCTGTGAGAGAGAGAGAGAGAGAGAGAGAGAGAGAGAGAATTCGAAGTTCAGGAGGCTAGAGACGCAGACAACGAGACAGTCTAACAATCTGTGTCTCTTCTAAACTTCAAACAACCACATCTTGGCAACCCAAAACCGACAACTTTGAGCTCATATATCTTATTCCCAGGCAAAGACATCAAAAAATTGTCAACTAACAAAAGCTTTATTATAATATCAAAATTGTTTTGATATTATAGTTGAATACTTTTTGGTATCTTTCACAAGTACTAGATATATTAGCTAAAAGTTGAATGAGT